CTTCGCATTGTTGTCGATGATGAAAAACGCCGTCATGCATTCCTTGGTTCCCACACTCAGGTTGATGGGTAGAATTCCCTGGGCCATCTGTTTGTCTCCAGCAAAACCAGCAATGGTTGTACTGGTTGGGATCAACCTGGGATTCTTTTTCCCTAATTTCTTCAAAGAGGATTTCGGTAGTAAGTTCACCGCTGCCCCATTATCCACTAAGACTCGGTTCAACTGTATCCCATTGAAGAAGGCCTTAATGTACAAAGGCTTAACATGCTGTGTCATAGAATTCGAGGGATACTCGAATGGATACGAGAGATTAATACTTACCACTTCTTCACTCTCATACTCAGCTTCCATTGGGGTAATTATTCCGAAATTATCTTGTACCATACTCGCTTGTGAATCTTCACTAGAGATTGGAATTGGATCAACTTCTTGCCCCTCTTGATTCTCATCTCCAGCTTGGAATTCCTGCGGTAGTATGTGTACCATGTTTACTGATACTGGGGAAAAAGAGCCAAACTGGATGGCTGGCTGTACCTGTTTCCCCTCTTGGCCACCTTGGTCAATTACCTCAGAAACATTCTGCATGCTGCATTCTGGTATTTCATTGTTAACAGGTTCCTTCGAATGATTTCCCTCGGCTGGTTTTCCAACCAAAAATGTTTGCTCGGCCATGAAAGCTACGAACATTTCTTCTTCCACCATTTATTTCTTTTGGCTCATGCCAATTTCTTCTTCTGTCTCGCTACCACTCTCCATCAAAGCTTTCTCCAACCCTGCTAGGCTATCCTTCTCTCTGACTTTTAGTTCAGAATGAGCCTTGGCCAACTGTTCTCTGCTGCAACCCACCTCGTTTTGTAGAACTGGCTTTGGAATATGGTCTGACTTCCGATTCTTCTTTTCTCCAGTCTGGATCAATGAAGAACTCTCTCCACTTTCTTTCAGGTCTTGCTGGTATTGGGTGCACCTACGCTGAATTTTCCTCCTTTGCGATCTAGAAATAACGGGGACCATATCTGGTTCCTTCGTTCTTAGGTGTTTCAGCAATATCCAGTTGTTGGGGGCCACCAAAGGAGGCTTAACCATCCTACCTTGATTTCAAACATTGCTTTGGGTAGGCATTTCCCTAGGTTTTTTTTGTATCACAAACCAATCTGGGACCCCAGGTACCCACGAACTTACTGACCCAGACGTTGAACTGCCCTTTTCTTCCTTCGATGTCACCTTCGAGACTGGCTGTGAAGACAATTGTTTAGCCCTGTCTCCAAGCTTTGAGCCTGATTCAGGCTTTCGATGATGGTAATCATTTTCTGTCCTTCGTGAAGCTAGTCCAGGGGGCCAATTTCTGGCTTTGATCCTAAAATCTGAACTCTTCTCCAATCTTCTTTCAGAATGACCACTCTCCATTCTGTAATAGTTAGGTGACCTGGTCTCATATAAGGGCCTCTTGCCTTTAGCATGCATTCTATCAACTGTAGGCTCAACTACTAATGGCTGCCGCCTAACATTAGCCGGATACGGCCTTTTATTATAAGCATTGGTTGATTTGGAACGCCTCTGCACATCTCTGTAATATTGCTTCCCATCAGCTGGAAGGCCTTTCAACCACTTATAACTCAGTCTGCACCTGGGACACATCCTTTGCATTACGGCTGCCTCTAAGGAGTCATCATCCAGTGCTTCTTCATCAGAGTCTTCCCTCTGATGTGAGAAATCTCGTCCAATAGCTGGTAGATTTCTAGTGTCTTTTTTGATTGCTGTCTGATTGGCCACATGCATCTGTACATTGACTTCTTCCAATTCTTTCAAAGACAGGTTCTGAAAGTCTGACATAATGACATTGGCTGCCACCTCTCCAATTTCTGGAAATGGATCGCTATCGATCCCCATGGCTTTCTCAGCTTTGGTTGGGAATTTCAAACTCCCCTTTCCGAATTTGTTCTTGGATCCTGTCTCGAAAAACAACACAGTTTTTAGTCGAGTGAGACTAAGAATTATGTCATTTACAATATACTTTTCCTTTAAGTTCATCAAGAGATGGAATTTTAACCCCTTTTGGTAACTTAAGGAAGTTGGCCGCAAGCAAATGATCAAAAATATCATCTGCCTTAGTTAAATCGAAAGAGTACTTCCTGTGGAGATCTTTCTTTTTAAACTGCTGGTCAATTGTCGTATCTTTATGAATTAATGCTTCACAGATCATAGGTTCTTTTCCCACAATCTCTGCTACATCAATCTCATAATTAGGATCTTTGTAGTATGTCCTATATGATGCATTATTTCGATCTTGTTCTTCTTCTAGTAATGCTTCATATCTAGATACTTTGTAAGTCAGTTTCACTAAATCCCTGAACTCTATTGAATCAAACTTCTTTCGAAGCCTGAACTCTAAGTCATTTTGGGCCAATTTTACGAATTCTGGTTCTGGCAAGATTACTCTACATTTATTTCGAGCCCTCTTAAATCCGGAAATAAACTGAGTAGCCTTCTCTTCAGGCCTTTGACTCAATCTTGCCAAGTCTGCCATGGGAACTTCTGGCTCTGATTGGAAGAATTGGGCATGAAATGCCTCTTCCACTTGCTGCCAAGTCTGGATGGAGCCAGGTGGAACGTTAATGTACCATACAAATGCTCCCCCAGTTAAAAAATTTATGAATAGTCTCAACTTTATATAGTCATGATTGGTAAATTCACCACATTGAGCAGCAAACCTAGCAATATGCTCTACTGTTGATTGGTTTCCGTTCCTATGAAAAAGGACGAAATCTGGTATCCTAAAACCTCTTGGATACTCATGTACCATGTCGACCCATTCTGTGTATGGTTTTCTGTACACAGGAGTTTGGACCCCCCGAGCCATTGGTCCACACAATTCCCTAACTATATCGGCAATTTGGTCCCTAGGGACCATATTTTGTGCCTGCTGAACCACCACTGGAGGAACAAACACAGGATTTGGTGGAAAATCTTGTGCCTGAGGTCCTCTTAGTCCATAGGAAGGCATATTTGGCACTAGCTGTCCTTGTGGTGTTGGCTGCTGTTGAGGGTATGGTTGACCTCTCTGAGCCTGTCCTGCGAAAGGACCTGTGAAAGGTGCTGTAATAGGAGGAACAGGTGTTATTTCTCTCCAACCCCCCGTGTATAAATTCGAATAAGGGATTATTGTACCCCCTAGTGCCAGGTATGGCTTCGAATGTGGGGTTTGGAACCATTCTTATGCCATTTTCTTGTACTAGGCCAGATCCACCAATTTGCATGGCTTCACTGTTGAACATTAAGGCATTATGGCCTGCTACAGGCCTCGAAATGGGTTCGTACCAAGACTGAGGTGGTAATCTTTCATGAATCTAATTACTGGTTTAACCATTAGAATGTCCATTAACTTGCATAGGCTGTTTATCTCTAGCCAATCTTTGCTGAGGGACATTTACTTCCTCCATGTGTCTCATATTTGTTGGTTGGTGGTTATTCATTCAATCCAAAAAGGATGCTGCCCACCTTTCCATTGTGTTTATTAATTGCTGTCTCATGGCATCTACTAAGCCACCCCACGGATTTACTGGCTGAGTAGATAGGGCATTGGATGGTCCAATTCCTTGGTCCCGTCCACCATTACGAACAAATGGTATTTGCTCTGAAGTACTGGTCTGTTCGATCATGGGTTCCGATAAGATAGGAGTCTCCACAGGATGTGTTATCACATTATCCTCTGGATTAGATATCTCCATCTCTCCTTCCACGCCTTCTTCCAAACGTTCATTTTCTCCTTGTCTCCTACGTCTAGCCATTTTAAAAGGTCCCACTGGGCGTGCCAAAAATATATGTTGGCTTTTTGGCTTTCGAAGGTTATTTTTGTAATTATGAGCGTGCCAGCAAGGATCAATCAGTCCTTACAGAATTGTAATTGCCAACCAATTATTCAGACGATTGTGTTATGGTTCTTTTAGCCTCAATGAAGAGGACTTTTACTGGTGGCTTACTGGTAGCTTGATTTAAGAGAATTTAAGCATAAGAACAGTTAAATAAATTGAAGCATTTCATTAGTATGAAAAACTTACAATGATCTCAGCCTCGTAGAGATTTACAGTGGCGATATACTCGAAAACTACTCCTACAAATGAAGTGCAGTGCAGGAACTTAAAGTATAGAAATGTAAAGAACAGGAAATAAAAATGGAATATGTAAAGTAAGACTGGTTTTCTTTAGATTTTTTCGCCCCTATCTCTGAAGTCCTTCCTGCTATTTATACTTTCTTCAAAGATAACCATCGAACTGCACTTCAAACCGTCGAACTGCTCCTCCGTGATCGCTGATCATGCTACCTTATAAGTAGTTCCACTACGCCTTCACTTGCAGTTAGGCTTCCCTCCTATATTTGAATTTGAATGTGAGTAACCGTTGAAGCCACGTCACCTTGCATCTCTTTGTTGATCCGCTGCTACTCAGATCTTATAACAACCAATATTAACTGCCATGTGTATGATCAGGATTGAAGACTTGACTGGTCTCCCCATATTACCCTTACTTTGCCACGCGTCGAATTGTCACTGGCTTGCACAAAATATGTAGCCAACAGCTGTGTTTGGTTGAAGGATTTGATGAGGGATTTGAAAAGGGAAAGGAAAAATATACCTACATTTCACCTAGTTTCACACATCTTTTCCCTTTCCCTTTCCAAATCCCTCCCTAAATCCCTCAACCAAACATAGCATTACAGATTCGCATTAACATACAAAAAGTTGTGAATTGTAAGATTATGATAACAGAGCTTATCAACATCCATACACATCAACAGAACAGTTGAAAACTATTAGATCAAGCCTACAGTAAATCAACAACAAACACAAAGGATCAATAATCATTATCATGCCAACTTAATTAAGAGCAAAAATCAGATTCCAATATTTTCTGGCAAAACAAAAGGCCTTCCTTTCAACAAGGGAGAAGAAAAAAAAAAGACACAAACAAGCTAGAATCATATTCATACCAACTTGATTAAGAACTAAAATGAATATTCCAATATTTTTTGACGAAATAGAAGGCTTTACTTTCAACAAGGAAAACAACAGATAGTTCGCACACAAGACATGGAGAAAGAATAAATACATGTATGCAAACACAAATAAGCTAGAATAGAACTGCAGACAAACTGAACTGCAGCATATTTCAATAATCATACCAACTTGATTAAGAACTAAAATTAAAATTCCAATCTTTCCCAGCAAACCAAAAGGCCTTCCCTATCAACAAGGAAAACAACAGAAAGTTCGAGTGCAAGAAACAAAAAAACCAAAAAACACACAAAGAAACTAGAATAAAAATGCAGACGAACTGAACTGCATGCCACACTCACAACCACCAACAAGAGAAGAGTAGTGATAAGTCCATCATCCCATTCAAATAACCAAGAATTCTAGACTCTGATGCAGGGGTAATGGGATGAACACTGTCCATGAGTTCCGCTAACTCATCAATCTCTCTTCTTTAACTTTTCCACCAGGGTTGTTTAGAGTAGTGATTGGCTTGACATATACCCCAATAGATTCAAGTTCTCCACACTTAGTACTGCCGTGAAATCCACCAAACTGTCTGTCCTGCCCCATTTGAAAGATGAACTCCCTATCACACTGGTGTTGCTGTCCAAATGGTCCGTAATGGCCTTGGTTTGTATCAAATGTGATAGAAGTAACTTTGTAGCCATAAGTAATGCTATAACTACCAGATATTGATGTCAAAAACTCATCTGGATAATTGAGCTTAACCTGTTTTTAACACAATTCAGATGGAAAAGATAAATCTCCTTTTTGTACCCAAAAATAAAAATTCTAGTCATATATCTGGTACCTAAGAGCATCTCCAATCCTTACCCTTTTTCCATCAAATTTGAGTGAAAATTTGGTTAAACTTGATTTCATATGGAGAACTATTTTTTTTGTTTCCCATCAAATCATTTAAAAAAAATTCAAACTTATCCCAAAAGCCCCTTTTAATCATTTTTTATGAAGAAAAAAAACCCTGAAACAAAACCATCTCTAATCCGTACTCTTCTTAAAATTTCATCAAATTCAAGTAAAAATATGATTGTTAGAAATTTGATGAAGGATTTGGCTCATTCTTGATTTGGTGAAAGATATGCCTCTCCCTTGATTTGATACAAGTTTGATGAAAAGATTGGAATTCACTTTCAGATTTTTATTCATTAAATTTGAATTTGATGAAACAATTGGTGAAAATTTGGGAGATGCTCTAACCAAGAAAAATTCTGGCAGACACTTAAATATACCAAAATGGGTAGATTTTTAAATATGCAATAAGCATCAAGGCTGAATCTGAATTCAGTTCCTCCCCCATCAGGAAAATGAATTTCAACTAGATTGGCATGGTTTTTGTTTTATATATATATATATATATATATATATTAATTTCAAATTGGGTACTAACATACTAAAATGATGATCAAGAAAAATTCAACTAACTTCTCTTTTCTTTTTCTTTTCTTTTCTTTTCTTTTTTTGTGATAAGTAAAAATATCAAAATACACCTAGACAAATACAAGGAATATGAAAGCTATCTAACTCACAATTCAGATCAGATGGGGGCCAACGAAAACAGATATTATCGACATTAAATGCAGCTTGTTATACAAGTGAATAAACTCAAAATAGTAGGAAAAAGATGGAGTTGCTAGTAGGGTAGTCTAGTGCATGTAAGGTCATAGTTTTTACTTCTATTAAATCATAGAGACACTTGCATCTTCATGATTTCGTAATTACTTATTAATGCCAAAAAGATGGACGGATGACATTGTAACTTGGCTTGCAGCCCATGTGAATCAGGTGATTTGATGAGAAATGATAAGAAATGAAGAGAAAGAAACTGTTTTCTCATGTTTGGTTTATAAATTAAGAGAGAAATGAGGGAAAATGATGAGAAAGAGAACTCTCTTATTTATAAGTTTCATTTCTTACAAAAAGTTTGTAAGAAACAAATTGACTAGTTGAGTATTTTCATAATACCGAGAATGTCCATTAATGTACAAATGAAGAAAAATAAATTTCACTCATATTCCCATATCATAGACAATGCCTTCTTACTCATCCGTAAACATGATAGTGAGAAAACATAATCATTTTTTTTTTTTTCATTTCTCACCCTGCGATCAAATTGAAAAGTGTAAGAGAATCAATAGTGGAAGGACAAAGTGAAGTTTTGGTGTACAAGAGTGTTAACCCAATATCTTTTATATGTTTTCCAATATATTTTAGTGAATTTTGTTAATAAAAGGCCTTCTACGCATATGTAACAAAAACTTTAGAAAATTATATATTCATTAGCACATGCATTAAATTATTGATTTTTAAGTTTCTAAACATATGCCATAACCTCTCAAGTCACATATTAACAATATTATATTTTAATTTGTGTTCCATTTGAGGAGAGTAAAAATATGTAGTTTGGGACACTCACAGTTTCAAATCTGTTTCCAATGTTCATGGAGAGAGAGGGCTCAGACAAAACCAAATTTCCGTTTTCAACATACTGGAATTGCAAGAAATTAATACCATAATCACCACGTGAAATAAAAATCTGTACAAGCTCTGTTTTCCCTTTGTGATCCCAAACTTCTCCACTAAGGTATTGCGCAAAGCCAGTTTTCATCATGATTTTAACTCTGCAAAACTTCAACTTCAATATTCAGATTTTTTATTACCACCAAGAATCATATTGTTACAGTTATGAAAATAAAGTAATAACAAGAGGTTGTTTTTTGAGCATCATCGCAATATCTCTCTTTATTTGGTATAAAACTAATCATTTACATTTACCTTAAAAAAAATCAAAACAAAAACAAAAACAAAATACAAAATACAAAAAACAATGCCAATGGAGAGAATAGGGATTGAAGGTTTGTGTCGAGAGAAGACTAATAAGAGTCAAGTGTAGTCTTTTATATCCCAAGAGAGTGAGTGAGAGCATTGACAATGAAATATGTTTGGATGGGGTGATTTGTTAAGAAATGATAAGAAATATTAAAAAAGAGAACTCTTTCTCATGTTTGAAATAATGAGAAAGAAAACTATCTCATTCTGTCTATTTTATTTTACACCAAAAGTTGTGAAATTTAGTGACAATTAAGTTGATTGGTTATAAAAACAAATTATAATACCAAGATTGTTAATTAAAATACAGATAAAGAAAAAGAAATCTAACTCATATTTCTTTCTCATATGGATTTGTTTTCTTATGTCGAATGTTGTATACAGATGAAATAACAACAAATCATACACAAGTAATGATTATTTTTGCACTACATGCATGAATCAAATTGTGAATCGTGCTATTCACCATCAATTCTATGTTATGTTTGGATCATGGATATGGGTAGGTAAGGATTCAGAAAAGGAAAGGAAATAAAATGTAAACAAAGTATAATTACATTTCACTCACCTTTTCGCCTTCTCTTTTCAAATCACGACCCAAATCCATGATCCAAACATATAGATTCGCATTAACCTATGCATAAACCGCGAATCATAAGATTATGATTACGGAACTTATTCCAGCCATATGCATCAATAGAACAGTTCAAAACTATTAGATCAAGACTCTAGTAACTCAACTATAAACACAACAGATAAATAATCACTATCATAACAACTTGATTAAGAACTAAAACTAAAATTACCAAATATTTTCTGGCACAACAAAAGGACTTCCTTTCAACAAGAAAAACAACAGAAAGAGCACAAGAAACAATATATATATATATATATATGTACAAATAAGCTAGAATCCTATTCATACCAACTTGATTAAGAACTAAAATAAAAGGCTTTACTTTCAACAAGGAAAACAACACATAGTTCGAGCACAAGAAATGGAAAAGAAATATATATATATATACACGCACACAAATCAGAACCTCAACAGATCAATAATCTTAACAACTAAAATTAAAATTCCAAATCTTTTCTGGCAAAACAAAACGCAGACAAACTGAACTGCATGACACACTCATAGCCACCAACAAAAGAAGAGTAGTGATAAGTCCATCCCATTCAAACTTATACCAAATTGAGTTTACTTAAAACCCATTATACTCCATTACTCAAATTTATACCAAATTGAGTTTACTTAGGTGTGTTTGGTTTATGAATTTGAAAAGAGATTTAAAAATGAAAATGAAAAAATATGTGTGAAATATAATTATATTTTATTTATATTTATCTACTTTTTCTTTTTTATTTTTCAAATCACTCACCAAATTTTGTGAGTTTGATTCATGAATTTTAATAAAGATTTGAAAAGTTAAAAAAAAAAAAAATGAATTGCGAATGAAATATAATAATATTTTACATACCTTCCACATATTTTTTTTACTTTTCTTTTTAAATCATTATTAAAATTCATGATTCAAACACAAACACAGACTTAATCAAAAAAATTGGGAACATAATCTGCTTTACTTTTAACCATAGCTTCCCCTTAAACTTCATACTAGACAATTTCACTTAAATTTGAGTTTATCTATTTCATATCAAATGAAGAAGTACGAAATTTATATACCAATTTGATTAACCAAGTTTAATATGAGTATAAAAAAACATTATAAGAAAAATTGATTAGAGAGAAAAGTTACCTGTGTGTGTGTGTGTGTGTGTGTGAGAGAGAGAGAGAGAGAGAGACTATCAAAGCCAGAGTGAAATGGCGAGGAGAGAGAAAAGCGTCAACGGTGGGTTCCGATCTAATTTCCTGGTTCCTTCACCCTTAAGCTGCTTTTAAAACCATGTTTTGGTTTGAGTTTTCTTTATTAAGTTTTTTGAAAATTAATTTTTTGTATTTTTGTATTTTTTTTTTGTATTTGGTGAATATTTTTTAAATTTTAAATATTTTTTTATTTTTTTAGATGCACCTTATATAAATGTGTCTAAAAAATAAAAAATTTGTGAAAAATAATTTTAAAAAATTAATAAATACATAAAAATATAAAAAATGTACTGAATTCTTGTATTTTTTTATATTTTTGGTATTTAGTAAATTTTTAAAAGATTTTTTTTATAATTTTTTTACTTTTTAGGTGTATTTATGTTAGGTGTGTCTAAAAAGTAAAAAAATTGCTTAAAATATTTAAAAAATTCAGTAAAAACAAAAAAACACGGAAAATAAGAAAGTAAAATTTTCTGAAAAGTGTTTTGGAAAACTAAAAACCAAGCAAGGTGATTATGAAAATAAAAAAACAAAAAACAATCGCATGTATTACTTTCTTTATCAATAAAGTTCCATTTTAGGACAAATTACAAATACTCCTCAAGGTTTGGTAAAAATATATATTTCTCCCTGAGGTTTGAAAAATTATAAATTACTCCTGAGGGTCAAATTTTCAGAACAAATTAAGAGAAATTAGGGGAAAATCTGTATGAAAATAAAAATCTCAGCGGACAATTTGTTATGAAAATATAAACCACAGGAGACATGATGTAATTTCTCAAACCTCAGGGGAATCTGTATTTTCACCAAACTTCGAGGGGAGTGTTTGTAATTTGCCCTTTATTTTTATTAATAAAAAAATAAAAAAAAATAAAGTCTATTTGGGTTAGATTTTAAATCATAATTAAAGTTTTGAGTTACATATTAAATTTTAAGTTTTTCAAATAAGTTTTGAAAAGAAAAATAATTATTTGATTATGAGTTTTAAAATGAGTTTTGAGTTGTATTTGAAATTTTAAATTGTATTTGAAATTTTTTGGGTTTATTTTTTTGTAAATATTTTATTTTATTTTATTTTGGGTAAATTGCAAATACGTAATACAGATTACCTCCTGTAATTTAGAAAATTACAAATATCCCTTTGTCAGAATTTTTTATTTACATAATTGCTCTCCTATTAAATTATTAATTGAAACATATTTCTAACATCATTAAAAACTATTAATTGATTTCATGATTTATTAATAAAATAAGCGATTTGTTATGAAATTAAAAATCTCAGGAGGTGAAATGTAATTTCTAAAATCATATTGAGTGATTCATATTTTAATCAAATAACAAGAGGTGCATTTGTAATTTACCTTAATTTTTTGGAGTAAATATTTTTTATTGTAAATATTTTTTTTTTGTTTTATGTGTAATGTATTTATTACATTTGTGATTGGCTCCGTTTCGTTTAGTTTTTGAAATGAGATTTAAGTTTTTGAAAAATATTAATGTGCATTCTATTTTCTACATTTGTTTTTCGTTTCTTCACAATTTTGGTGCTAGTTGAGTATAATTTGGTTTAGCTAATACATATCTAAAACATAAAAAAATATTTTGCTAATACTTAAAACCAACTTAAAATTTTGCATCAGTATATTGAATTCAAATCTCGGTGGTTATGACCATTTGGACATTGATAAAAGTATCGATCGTAATTTGCTTTCATTTGTACTATCCACTTTTGCATGGGCCCAGCCTCACAAACACAAAATATTTTAAATATGTATATTTTATTTTATTATTTTAAAATTTTAATTTTTTTAAATTTTAAAAAATTTTGAATTGTCCATATATTTCTAAATCATAACAAAATTATTTGGTCAATACTTAAAAAAATAAAAAAAATATTTTTTTCTAAAAAATAATAAAAATATAAAATATTTTTCATCAAAAAAAATAAAAAATAATTTTAAATAACAAAATAAAAAAATATTTTTTGAATTTTTTTTCTTTGTTTTAAAAATAGAGTTTTGGAAAGTGTTTTAAATTGAGTGTTTGGTTATAAATTTTGAAGAGAATTTTATTAGAATCGTGATTTCAAAATTAAACCAAACGCTACCAAAAATGGTACACCCCAAATTTTCTATCAAAATTTAAGTAGAAAATTTTGTATCCACATTGCTCAATAAAAATGTGTCATAACAGTTTTATAAAATAGAATAAATTTCATTTTATTCTATCGTGATTTGGTCATGTGCAAATTATCTATCTGTCATTCAAAAATAACTACGTAATCTTATTTTGATTTGTGGATCAATCTACACAGATACTCATCAACAATTTAATAAAAAAAACTTGAACAACGAGACATTTGGTTGGCTCTATGAGTCCGTCAACTTCTCTTAAATTTAAAGTATAACCAGCGAAAAAAAGATACTTGTGTATAAATAAATCACATAATCAATTACAATTGTAAGTGTTTTATGATCTATTATTTTTTGGTGCTTTCGTATTGAAATTAGCAGTAATTCATCTGCATACCTTGATTGATTTCTAAAAAGCGAAACTGTATCTTCTTTGCTTCACCAACATTCTAATGTAAAAATTTGGACTTTTAGTCACAGTCTTGAAACATAACTTTCATCCAATTGATTCTTGAGGTTTGATTTTATCTCAAACTTTTGTCAAGCCAAGTATAATTAATAGACAGATTGAATGTCATGTATTCTATTCAGCAACAGACACTTTACTATATAAATTTAGTTCTTGAACTCTTTGAGAAGTAATTAATTAAAGCTTTACTTGGAACAAAAGCATTGCTTTCACTATTAGAGTACATAATACCAAAGAATTCTTGAACTCTAGTTTTCTCTTATCAAACTCACCACCAAGTCACCTTTGATTCTTATCAAACTGTGTGTAGAACTTAGAGTCTAGTATTTATTGAGCTATCAACTTCAAGTTCCCCCTAGCCTTAAATGATCATAATGAAGTGTGGCTCTATGAAAATCAATGCAAACAATCTCTGTGACTGATTGACAGCCATTAAGGTATGTTCACTTCTTGCAAACAATCTCTCTCTTGCTAAATACCAAAATCTACCATTGTGAAGGATGCCTGTTTGGTTGTTTTCGTTTTCGTTTTCATTTTTTGAGTTTTCAAAGTGGGTGGAATTTGAAATTTTAAAAATGGGTTGTTTCTAGAAAATTTACTGAAAAGTAGTTTTCAGAAATAATTCCTCAAACAAGTTTTTTGTGTGTTCTCAAAAGAAAAAGAAAAAATGAAAACACAATCAAATATTCATGACTTCCAAGAAGTGTCTCATCCATGTCATATTTTTCAACATTGTGCATATTCAAACAAATCTATATATTATCTTTATTTCGAAAAAAAAAAAATTAAATTAGCAGAAAATCATAGAAAGGAAGTTCTAATTCAATTAGCTGGGAATATTGTCAATTTCATTTTTCATTTTAACTATTTCAAACACTCTTAGATCATGGTTAGACCTTGGATTTGTGGACAAAAATGAAAAAAAGAAAGAGAAAAGAAGGGGGGGAAATTACTTCATTTTTCTTTCCGATCTCTCCCCTTCTTTTATTTTCCTTCCACAAATCAAACATCCAAACATAGTGTTAGAGTAGCGATCAAGTTGAAGAACTTGAAAAAATGATGCCATTGCAGGTTCTACTAATTAACTCCATTTGGCATCTATCAAGACATAGACATGGAGAGTAGTAGAAATAGAGATCATGTTTCACTTGAAATTACAGAAGAAGATGAGAAGCTTGCTTTGTCTATAAAAGACAAAATGGAAAATGTTTCTCTCTCCCATTGCATCTGCAAGGTCCCGGAAAAACTTTTCAAGGACAACGAAGACATGTACTTCCCCAAACTAGTCGCAATCGGCCCTTTCCACCACGATGATCACCCTTTAAATGCCACAAAGGATCAAAAATGGCGATACCTCAACACGCTTCTCAATCGTCAACCAAATGTAGAGGCATGCTTGAACAATTGTGTCATAGCACTTAAGGAGTCAGAAGCCAAAGTGAGGAAATGCTATGGTGAAAAAATCAATCTCAATAGCGATGATTTAGTAACCCTGATGTTAGTTGACGGTTGCTTCATCATTGAGCTCCTCTTGAAGTTCTCTATGAAGAGTTTGAGGCGTAGGGATGATCTGTTCTTCAAGTCAAAAGACACGTTTTTCCGTCTGAGATGTGACGTTTTCTTGCTTGAAAACCAAATTCCTTTTTTCATTCTGAGACGTCTATTTGACATTGTCCCAATTCCTAGTCAGTGTACTCAGTCTCTCATCGAACTAGCCTTATCTTTCTTTAAAAGAATGATTCCCGGAGATGTCCAAGCTCTTCAAGGAAAATCTAACCAAGACCATTGCCATTTGCTTGATTTGGTCCACAATTGTTACCTCCCTACATATCTTGAAGTTCACTCAAAGGGCACGCATAAACATTTGCATAGCACGACAAAGCTTCAAAGCGAAGGAATTGGATTTTCCAAGGCCAAAACGGAGAGCTTGCTTGACATAAATTTTGTGCTTGGTGTGATCAAAATCCCACCTCTAAAAGTCCACGATTATACAGAAATCACGTTTAGAAACCTCATTGCATTGGAGAATTGCTACGTTGATCGCTCAAAACACGTCACCTCTTATGTTTTTCTCATGGGGAGCCTCATCCAATCCGAAAATGATGTGAGGATGCTTTATAGGGCGGGAATTCTCACAAATGGGCTAGAACGGAAGGAAGAGATTATTGGCCTATTCAATAAGGTCCGTGTGGACGTGGACGCGAATGACTACTATTATAAAGGGCTTTGTGAACAAGTGAAGGAGTATAAGCGAAGCATTTTCAAGAAAATTAAGGATAGCTATTCCAAGACTCACTTGGCAGTTGCATGGTTCAGTCTTGCAGTTTTGTTCCTAGTTCTCACTTTCATTGGAACTATGTTTTCAATACTCTCATTCACACTCCACCATGTTTAGGCAAGGCGATAAGATTGTGTTCAGTTTGTTACTTGTATTTATGATTGTTTTCCTTGCAAATTTAACTTCCATTGAGGTAATAATTTATAGTGGTTTTCTATAGATGATTTATGTAATGTGAGTTGAAAATAATGTGTTTGATTCACATCAAGTTGTATATTATCATTGCTATTGTTATTATACAGACATGATATATATCTAGTTTGAAGAAATTTGCCCCCCTGGAAAGAGAAAAACATGTTCTGCCTTATCTAATTTGTATGAACTAATGATGTCATAAATATTGTCCAACACGTCAATTTTTTTGTCCTTTCAATACCAATACGTCTCCATATACCAATTGAAAGAAAAATTACGTGCATATAATAGCCCTGTTTGGTAGAGCTGTGGGAAAGTACTTATAGCTTATAACTATGAACATAAGCTGATTTCTGACTTATTCTTAAAGCATCTCCTGCCCCACTCAAAGAATAAGCTGATTTCTGACTTCCAAAAAGCTATAAGTTATAAGCTATAAGCTAAACCAAACACATCAAAATAGCTTAAATTAAGCTGAAAGCTGAAATAAGCTGATTATAATTTCTGCCAAACAGGCACAATAAACTGGTTCCTTTTACGTATTAGTTTATATCTGATTGATAAGTTGATTCACAATCGATACAATTGTTACTATATATAAAATTCTTTTCTGCGACTGATGATTTTAGATATTGAAAACCAGCTTGTTTTGTTTCGTTTTTCTGAAAACTGTTTTCAGAAAATTATACCTTTTCATTTTCCGTGTTTTTTTATTTTTAATGAATTTTTTTAATATTTTAAACAATTTTTTTTAATTTTTAGATATACCTAACATAAATATACCTAAAAAGTAAAAAATTTGTAAAAAAAACCTTTTAAAAATTCACTAAATGCCAAAAATACAAAAAAAAAATACGAGAATTCAGTACATTTTTTGTATTTTTATGTATTTATTAATTTTTTAAAATATTTTTTCACAAATTTTTTACTTTTTAGATATATCTAAGTAAGGTGCATCTAAAAAACTAAAAAAAATGTTTAAAATTTTAAAAATATTCACTAAAAACAAAAAAATACGAAAAATAAAAAACTCAATTTTCAAAAAATTTAATCCAGAAAACTTTAACCAAACACACTGATGATTTTATGAGTAACGAAAGTAAAATTTGAGTAAAAGTTGAAATGTGAAAAGTATGAATTTCATACAATTTTTTTTTTTCCAATGACCCTAAAATGCATTCGCATGGGTATTTGATGTCTAAATTTTTAATTGTAAGTAACAAGAGAATTACATTAAAATACAAGATAAAATTTAAGGGCTTAATTGTTACAATTAAGGTATAAAAGATCAAAATAAAATTTGAACAAAAAATTGAAGGTGAAAAGTGTAATTTACTCCCACAGACACCGAACAAAAAAAAAAAGGTAGATGATGTAAATAGTATTTTTACACTTCCCCTTCTCATCTATTTTCTCTCTACATCCAAACAAAATTTTCAACTCTTCATTCTAATTAATACTCATTGGTCTCCACTTTCAATCCATGAAGAATTCCATAATAAGATCTCCATAAAAAAATTTAAAAATTAAAAAAAAAAAAAAAAAAAAGTGGGAAAATTGGTAGTTAGATGAGTCTACAGAACAGGTACACAATGTAGTGATTGGTGTTTAGAATGGTATACTTGTTGTATATTTTAGCCACAACAAACAAAACATCACATCCAACCCATAATCATTACACTCTTCTCTCACAAAAAAAGTTAAAAAAGCCAAAAAGTCAAAAAGCCCTTCCCAAACCAAGCTTTTTAGCCCAGGCTAAAATAGCCAAAAAAGTCAAAAAGTCAAAAAGCCAACCCACTTCCCAAACGGAGGCTAAAAGTCATTTTCTAACTTTTTAACCCATTTTAAATGACATCATTTCTCATATTTTCAAAAAAAAGTCAAAAAAAATTAAAAAAACCAAAGCTTCCCAAAATAGTCTAAAGTTGTTAAAATGTCTCAATCTTCTCTAATCAATACATTTATAAAAGATTGTTGATATCCAAAACTCTATTTTAATCTATTGGTTTGGTTTAATTGGGAAAATATTATGGGTGACACCAGGTTAATAATGACTCTTCTTGATTATAAAAAGCCCAATATAATGTTCAACCATAAAATTCAAAGTCAATTTTGTACTGAAATACCCAGGGCTTTATCCATTATTTACAAAAGGCATAACAGTGGATTTTAAAGTCAAATAATGCAATAATAGCAACCACTTGTGTGGTTCTAAAGAAATCCTCTTGTAGTGTGTGACATCTCATTGGCAATTGACAACTTGACATTTCAAGAGTGCATAAATCAAAGTAATGAAGACTATATGCAACCTCATGAGAATGGTTGATAATTGAAAAAAAATAAAAATTATGTCAATTATTGAGAATCTAATGGGATGTCATTTAAATTATTTTTTTAATTTATAATAATGGATAAACTAAAAATAATTAAAAATAATTATTATTAATAAATTGAAGATTACTTTAAAATTATGCAGTAGGATTATGTTTTTAAGTAAGAAAAATATCAAAAACAACTCTTAAAACTATTGTTTGTATTGAAAAATGTGCATAACGTGTATTGAAATGTGTAAAAAATAAATAAAAATATATAAAATTGTTTAAGTAAAATATATATTTGGATCATAAATATTTTGACAGTATATAATCTTTATTTACAACCCTTAAAACTATTATTAGCAAGACCTTTTTAAATAATAACAATGATACATTCCCTAAATTTTGAGCTCCAAGAGCATCCGCATCAGCCTCAGCAAATTTTAAGTCAAATTATAACCCAAAATTCACTTTGATATTTTAGCTAGTTTCTTTTTTATATACACACTCCATCAAACTCTCTATTTTAAAATTCTATTTCATTAAAATATTATTTTTTATTCTTTTATCTTTTTCAATTTAAATATATTTTTTTCCTACCGTCATATTTTAAAAACGACTATATTCCGACGGTCATATTCCAATGATCATATTCTTTCAATATAAATAAAACCAATTGCTATCTAAATTTCATCCAGATCAGCCTAATTTTGCTATTTCATTTTGTATTTATTTTCTCGATATGGATCTTCATTCACTAGACGACATGATTCTTTATGACTCTGACTCCAACGATGAGTTGGAGACAATTGGGATAGCTGTTATGAAAGGGCAACGACTAGCAACCAATAGTTCATCAAGATCACGGCATAATTCTAATCAACGCCACAAATTCATTTGGCGTAATTCTTTGCAAGGTCACCAGAGACTTTTTCTAGATTATTTTGTTGATCCACCAGTATATCCTTCCAATGTATTTCGGATGAAGTTTCAAATGAAACGTTCTCTTTTTCTCCGTATTCAATTTGCGATAGAAGCTCATGAATCATATTTTCTCTAGAAAAGAAATAGTGCTGGAGTGCTTGGTTTATCTTCCTTTCAGAAGATGACTGCAGCACTTAGAATACTCGCTTATGGAGTAGCAACTGATTTTATGGATGAATACTTGAGGATTAGAGAAAGTATCGCAATGAAGAGTCTATTTTATTTGTCAAAGCGGTGGTTGAAATTTATTCCGATCAGTATTTGAGGTCACCAAACAACAATGACATTGCTAGACTACTAGCAATTGGCAAAAGTCGTGGCTTTCCTGGAATGCTGGGAAGCATTGATTGTATGCACTGGACATGGAAGAATTGCCCAGCTGCATGGAAAGGTATGTATACTGGTCACACCCATAAACCAACAATTATTTTGAAAGTAGTTGCATCATATGATCTTTGGATATGGCATGCATTTTTTGGATTACCTGGGTCTCATAATGATATCAATGTACTAGAAAAGTCTACTGTATTTACTGAGCTTGCTCAAGGGCGTGCTCCTCCAGTCAATTACACCATCAACGGTAATGAGTATACAATGGGATATTATCTTACTGATGGTATTTATCCACCATGGGCAACATTTGTGAAAACAATTCAATGTCCACAAAGAAACAAGAAAAAACATTTCGCTATGGCCCAAGAGGCATGTAAGAAGGATGTGGAGCGTGCATTTGGGGTGCTTCAAGCACGTTTTGCAATTGTACGTGGACCTGCACGATCTTGGAATCTTGAGTCAATTAAAGTTATTATGAAGGCTTGTATAATATTGCACAATATGATTATCAAGGATGAGCGAGATAACAATGAAGCACAAGACATTGATTTTGAACAAATCGATGAAACCCCTTTGGCACAAGTGTCACATGAGCGTACAATCAAGCTTATGAAATTCATTCAACAAAATCACCGTATCAGAAACAGAGCAATTCATTCTCAACTCCAATCAGATCTTGTTGAGCACTTGTGGCCAGTCATAGAAATAAGGTTTCATATTTTAATTATTTTGTGGCAAATAAATTTATTATGTTTTTAATTATTTGTTTTAGTAATGAAAAATGGATTATAATTGAATTGAAAAAGTTTAATTAAATCATTATAATCCTTAAATGCTCCTTGTGTTTAACCATATTTTTGGAGTGCAAAATGATGTTAAAACAAGTATAAAATAAGACCCAAGCCAGCACCAGAGCAACAATAGAACAGTAGCAACACAGGAGCCAGGGTGGTTGACCGGGTGATCGACCGATTAAGCAAAATTTCAACATTTGTCTTCTTCTCATGGAACATCCTGGGGGACGACCCCAGCTTTGCTCCAGTTCACTTTGCTGCTCACAACATACATACAAGGAAGCCATTTGGATTCAATCATTTAAACATGAAGTCATCCAAACATAAACATTCCAAAACCATTTCAAAAACATCCAAATACAAAAGCATGTTAAGCATGTCAAATATTACAATCACTCCACATGATTAATTTTTTTCCTACTCCAAAAACATCCAAACATAAACTTTCCAAAAACATTTCAAAAACATCCAAATACAAAAGCAACTTAAGCATGTCAAATATTACAATCATCCAAGTAGAAATCATGTAATTACTCCACATCATTAATTTTTTTCCTACTCTCAATGATTTCCAGTTGGTGTAGACGATAATATTCTTGATGCATTGGGGACATCTCACCTGTATCAATCATCATGATTCTCTCTTCCTTTTTCAATTGTTCAATTCGAGCCCTTGAAGCATGAATATAATAAGATTTTTGAAGAAGT